CCTCGGTCTCTCTCTCTCTCTCTCTCTCTCTCTCCCTCTCTCTCTTCTTTCTCTCCCTCCTACCCCACTCTCCCTCTCCCTCTCTCCTTCTCACCTCTCTCTGTGTCTCTTCTTTCTCTCTCTTCCTGTCTTTCTCTCCTCCCTCTCTCTATCTCTCCTCTCTCTCTCTCTCCTTTCTCTTCCTCCCTCCCTCCTCTCTCTCTTCTTTCTCTCCCTCTCACCCCACTCGGTCTCTCTCTCTCTCTCTCTCTCTCTCTCCCTCTCTCTCTTCTTTCTCTCCCTCCCACCCCACTCTCTCTCTCTCTCTCTCCTTCTCACCTCTCTCTCTGTCTCTTCTTTCTCTCTCTTCCTGTCTTTCTCTCCTCCCTCTCTCTATCTCTCCTCTCTCTCTCTCTCCTTTCTCTTCCTCTCACCCCACTCTCGGCCTCTCTCTCTCTCTTCTTTCTCTCCCTCCCACCCCACTCTCTCTCTCACTCTCTCCTTCTCACCTCTCTCTCTGTCTCTTCTTTCTCTCTCTTCCTGTCTTTCTCTCCTCCCTCTCTCTATCTCTCCTCTCTCTCTCTCTCCTTTCTCTTCCTCTCACCCCACTCTCGGCCTCTCTCTCTCTCTTCTTTCTCTCCCTCCCACCCCACTCTCTCTCTCACTCTTTCTCTCCTCACCTCTCTCTGTCTCTTCTTTCTCTCTCTTCCTGTCTTTCTCTCCTCCCTCCCTCTATCTTTCTCTCTCTCTCCTTTCTCTTCCTCCCTCCCTCCTCCCTCTCTTCTTTCTCTCCCTCCCATCCCACTCTCAGTCTCTCTCTCTCTCCCTCTCTCTCTTCCTTCTCTCCCTCTCACCCCACTCTCGGTCTCGGTCTCAGTCTCCCTCCCTCTCCCCCCCTCTCTCTGTCTCTGTCCTCTCTCTCTGCAGAGGGAAGGAAACGCCGTTGGGAATTGGGAGAGGAGGGAGAAAATCGAGCCCTTTGCCAGGTTTTATTTCCCCCCAGCCTGGGTAACCTTGGAGACTTCACCCCCCCCCCCAGTCCCCTCCTGGTGTCTGTCCGAGGGAAAGAGCAGACGCATTAACTGGGAAGGAGCTCTGTGGTGAAGCCCTTTGCGGGAGAACGCCTGCCGTCTGCTGATGGGCCAGACCAGAAGTGCCAGCGGGTGAAGCTCTTACGGGAAAGGCACACGAGGGAGGCTCACGCGGGCAGCTAAGAAACTTGGGGGGGGGGAGGTTCATCACGGAGAGCCCCCGTCTGGTCTTCAGCAGTTCCAGCATCTGACATATCGGTAATGTAAGAACGGTGGGCTTTAAAGGGAGGGGGGGAGGGGGATTGTGGGTCTACATGGTCTCTGAGCTTGTTTTCGGCAGGCGTTTCATTACCAAACTAGGTAACGTCATTAATGCTGGAAAGGAGGAGGAGGAGGAGAACTGTGGGGCCCTTGGTGCTCTCAGAGCTGGCTTATCTCTTGCAAGATGTTTCGTGACCCCCGCTAGGTAACATCACCAGTGCTGGAAGGGGGGGGGGGATTTGAGAGTTGGGGGAAAAAGGAGGAGGAAGATCGTGGGCTCCTTAATGCTCTCTGAGCTGGTTTTCTCGCAGACTGTTCATCACCAAACTAGGTAACATCATTAATGCTAGAAGGGGGGGGGAGGAGGAGGAGGAAGAAGAGGAGGAGGAGGAGGAGGAAGAAGAGGAGGAAGAAGAGGAAGAAGAGGAGGAAGAAGAGGAAGAAGAGGAGGAGGAGGAGAAAGAGGAAGAGGAGGAGGAGGAAGAAGAGGAGGAGGAGGAGGAGGAAGAAGAGGAGGAAGAAGAGGAAGAAGAGGAGGAAGAAGAGGAAGAAGAGGAGGAGGAGGAGAAAGAGGAAGAGGAGGAGGAGGAAGAAGAGGAGGAGGAGGAGGAGGAAGAAGAAGAGAAAGAAGAGGAGGAGGAAGAAGAGGAGGAAGAGGAGGAGGAGGAGGAAGAGGAGGAAGAGGAGGAGGAAGAAGAGGAGGAGGAGGAAGAAGAAGAGGAGGAGGAAGAAGAGGAGGAGGAGGAAGAAGAAGAGGAGGAGGAAGAAGAGGAGGAGGAGGAA